TTCCTAAATTAACAGAAGTGTATTAGAAAATAATTTAACAATTTACCTGTGTTTTCTTTTCCACTACGAGGTGTAATTGCGGTCAGTGTATGCGGTTATTTCGGGATTACTGTGGTTAGTTTTCCAGAGTCGCCGGACCATGGTTGGTGCGGGCTAGTGCCATTGCGGTCAGTGTGAATGGCTTGATTTATATATCGATCGATAGTTTGGGCATGGCGGTCAGTGTCAACAGAATTAAGAATCTAACTTTTTGTCAATTATGGAGAATTTAACGTTGTATCAATTATATTTTTTTTAATCAATATTTTGAGTTATCAATATAATTTTCTTGTTAATTAAAAGGATAATAAGTATTTTGTATATGAATATCACCTTATTAAAACTTTCATAAATATAAAACTGCTTTTGGTAAACTTGATTGCTCATACTTGTTTTTCAGGTACGCCATCTCATACGTGCATTAATTAAGTATTTTAACAGTTGCCAATTTTAGACAGGTGCTAAATACTCCAGTTTGAAATGAAATATTAATAGCTTCAGATAGAACTCGCATGACTTCCTCAGGGAGATTTATAAATATTTTAATTGACATTTCATCCCATCCCGCAGTGTTTTTATTTTTAACATTAGACAAAACTTCTTTAATTTCAGAAATATCCGTTGGAGTAAAGTAAAATGTATTTGGAACTGAAAAATTGTATAAAAATTGTATAACATTACAGGTTGGTCTCATATTACTTGATAAATTGGGACCAATAGAGCAATAATACTCATTCAATTTTTCTGGAGGTATTTCAATATTAATAGGAGCCGTTGACTTTATCCTCAAATCATTAACAATAGCCCAAGCCTCCTTTTGTTTGTTGTGAGCATTTTTTATTCTCTTTTCAAAATATAATTGTTTAGCTATCTTAAAAGTTTTCTATATTATTATATTGTTCTATACTTATTATAGTAAATAATAAAATTAATGGTTTTATAAGTATACCTTTTAATTAAGTCCAAAGAACATAAATTTTTGGATGATATTCTTAAGCCTTTAGTAACCCAACTTTTTTCTTTTTATTTCTTAGTTTCCTAGGAGAAAATGCCTTATCAAAAACTTTTTATAACTGACTATGAAAATGTTTCAACGGTTCAGCTTCTGTTAAAATATTGTACCAACTTACATTACTACATATATCTGTGAAAACCTACTAAACGCTGACTGACTAAATATACGTCTATAAGAAGGTGAGCTGCTGCTAATCTCCATGCTTTGATAGACGTCGCATTAAGCCGCATCGTGATCAGAAAAGTTAATATTTGCTTTACTCACATTAGTACAAATGTAGTTCAAGGTACTGGTAATTCGTGTAGGTTCTCTTACATGCATTGTCAAATTAAAACAATTTAAAACAGTGGTTAGATTATGTACAGTGCTGAGTGAACTGTCTAAATAATTTGCATTAAAATCACCTGTCAGAATGATGGTAGCATTCACTGGCAATTGTGATAACATTAGTTCTATTCTATCTAAAAATTCTTGAAAACTTGATGAAGGGGATCTATAGATAACAATTATATAAAGGTTTAATTTAGAACAGTATCCAATTGAAAGTTCATATACTTTCTCGCTTACTAAGTTAGAAAATCTATCAACTTCAACAGAACAAAAATTATTTAAAAACTCTTTTTTAATAAGCACAAGCACACCACCATGATCATTATTAATTCTACAAAAGCATTATATTAACACATAATTAGAAATTGAGATAGGTTCTTTATCTTTCAACCAATGCTCAGTTAGTAATACAATTTCAGGATAATTAAAACTATTTAGAAACAATTCAAATTCTTCAGTTTTATTTCGAATCGATCGGACATTTAATAATATCAGTCTAAATTTTTCAGTTGAATTATGTTTGCCTCTAAAAAAGAGTTTTCTAGATTCTCCTCCTCAAGATCCTCTGTTTCATTACTACAAATTGTTTCGTTATTCTTATTGATATGAGAGTCAGACACATTAATATTTATAAATTTAAGATTACTAATTTTTTACTATATTTAATTTCCTTTATAAGTTTAGATACTATTTCATCTTTGATTATTAACTGACCATTTTTATTTAAGATATCTAGAAATGAAATTTTACCTTCAGAGAATCTATCAAGGTTAACGACATATTCCTAAAATTTGTTATTAAATTTATTGATTCAATAATTTATATTTCTAGAGTAACTGTTTGGAATTTTAGTGAAGATTATATTGGTATGTGTACAAAATTTAGCTTTTTTATGTATTTCACTAACTTTAGGGTATTTATGATTTTTAAAATTATTTAAACCTCCGAAGATTAGAATGTAGTCATTTACAGTGTATCCTTTCGAAATATTAATTAAATCCTCAATGACGCTTTCAAAACATGCTCCCGGCTTGATAAAAGTCATTACTTCAAAGTTAGGAATCTTTTTCAGCTTAGGTCCGATACCTCGACCCAAATCATCACTATTGATACTTAAAATATGAATATATTTGGGAGTTTAGGGCCGTTAAAATATATATAAAAAAAAATCCTAACTGAAAAACGAAAAATGATATAAAATTGAAATTTTTAGCAAACATTAATCTCTAAAAGAGGAAGAAGCCCTTTAATTATAAAAAAGAATCTGATTAAATATGGGGGATTTAAGGGGGGTTGAAATTAAAAAAAAAATCAAAAATAAAAAGCGATATCAACATCAAATTTTTGGTAAAAATCAAACTCTATAAGAAGATGAGGCCTATTGATTGTGAAAACAATCTCGTTGAAAATGGGGGTTAAGAGGGTCTGTTAAACTGCGAAAAGTATCATTTAGAATGCCAGGCATTATAAATCTTTATTCTAGTTTATGTCTGTCTAATATTATGTATTGTGATGGGATTGATCTTATAAAATAAACATTTAAAACATTTTAGTTCTTATTTTACTTGCCAATGAAAGGTATTTAAACATTATATTTTTTATTTGACATCTGTGACAAATTGTGAAAATGATTAAAAACTAAAAAATGGTAGGTAAAGTTTCATATAAAATAGTATAAGATAAAAATTTAAATTAATTTTTTTAACGTTGCTCTTAAACCGTTTGGCATTTTTTCATGAAATTTGATATGACGTGTTAGAATACCATGACTAATAATACCGAGGAAGAGGCAATATTTTTTCTTGATTTTTATAGGTTTTTGGAGGGAGTCGCCGCTCTTTTCTCCACTCAATTTTTTGTAGTATAAAATTTACAAATAAAACGCCACTGGAATGCAACATCCATTTGGAAACTTTTTTGTCTTCTGGTATTTGTTTGTAAAAAGTTTAGTTTAGACGATACAGCCATTTGAAGTGACAACTTAAAAATATTCAATGGAAATTCTACGTATGAAAAATATCGAAATCAAGTTTATTTTTTAATTACAAACTAATGTCATCAAAATAAAAAAAAATAAAATAAAATTTTATATTACAAAAAAGTTGAGTAGAGAAAGGGGCGGTGACACCCTCCAAAATCCTAAAAAAATATATATTGCCTCTACCTCGATTGTGTTAGTCATGGTAATCCAATACGTCATATAAAATTTCATGAAAAAATATGAAACGGTTTAAGAGCAACGTTAAAAAAATGTATTTAAATTTTTATCTTATACACCCTGTAACTATTTTTGGGTGCAATTATGTATATAGGTAAGTTCGGTTTAATCGACCTATTTTTAACCCAAGAATACGTGGAATATTATGACCAATCTTTTTGAAATACCCTGTATATTTAAAAATAATCTCAAATTATGAAGGAAAGCCAGTTTACTAACTAATAATGTTTATAGATGGTTTTCAACGTACTTTTTTTTGGGTCATCGGCATCAACTGCTACGGTTATTAGCCTCGTGTTCTGTGTAGGCTTTGTTACTGTTTCCCAACGCCACTTTAGGAACAGCACTGTTAATTAGTACCCAACAGTAAATGGTATATGTACTTTTACACACGGTACTGAGGTTCTTTTTGTTTCCAAACGTTAGTGGCTCCAAAAAGCTCTTCCAAGAAGCTCCAAGCTCCTCCAATGAGCTTTAAGAAGCTCCAAGCTCCTCCAGGAAGCTCCTAGAAGCCCTAAGAAGTCGAGAAGCTCCTAGTTGCTCCAGGAAGCTTTAAGATCTAAGCTCTGAGAAATAGGAAGTACCGAGTTACGTAATTGCTCCAGGAAGCTCTAAGATCCCAGCTCTAAGAAACAAGAAGTCGGAGTTAAGCAGTTTCTCCAATTTCCGAGTTCCAAGCCCCAAGTATCGAAGTACCTAAAGGCGGATTGTCCATGACACGACATACAAAATGGAAGTACCATACTTACCGTACTAGACTGCCACATGGTCGGGACAATTAATATTTATCTAAGTACCTAACAGTAAATTTTATTCATTCATACAATATCAGTCAATTTTATTTTCTATTCTGATTTAATCACTAACCAACTATCAATTTATTATATGTAAAATTTCACTCTTTTACCTTTTTTTATTAAATGTATTAAATTTTCTCTTTCTTTTATTTGCCAGAACTCATACAGATAACTTTAAGTACCAGAGACTGACTCAATTAAACAGGACATATCAAATCAGATAAGTTACTCGAAACTTGGTGGCGCTCAACATTTTTTTGTCGTTATCGTAAAGTAGACTTGGGCCCGCGAAACGGTCAAGCTACTCTGATTTCATTTATCCTGGTCAATTTATGAATCCACGCAGTATCAGCAATTTGAGCTAAATCACCTTTTAAGTACAATTTACAACGTAGAAATCTAAAAAAAAGGTAACACTGAATGGGATTCTTTATTATAATTCACCGTAAGTGTATGATTTACAACCACTCATCGGGTCCTTTTAAAAATGTTATATTTTTTCGGTGTACATTTTCCAACCGAATTCAGAGTTTTATAGTAAGGAAATTTAAGAAAAACGTATGATTTACTTAATTTTATTATATTTATTTATTAAGTTATCCTTTATTAAACGGCAAGGCAATTCAAAGCATTTTAATAATGCAATAATTCGGTAAAACAATTAATAATTAATTTATTATCCCAACAATATTTTACTTCACATTATATATTACTTGACTAGTCTTTTAAGTCCTAAGTTAAATCCTCCTTCACCATGCAAATTAAACTGTTTTTTTGATATTTGTATAGGAATTATAGTTTTCTTTGTAGGAACAATTTCAAACTTTGTTAGGAGATGAAAAAATACAATTTTAATCTCCAATGATGCAAATCGATTTCCAATACAATTTCTCGGTCCCACTCCAAACGGAATATAAGAATATGGATTGATATATCCTCTGTTTTCGGCACTAAATCGTTCAGGATCGAAACGTTCTGGCTCAGGATAAATAGCTGGATCACGGTGTATGGCATAAATTGGAAGCCAAATAACTGTTCCTTGTTCTAAATGTACAGGTTTTTCATCGGATGATGTAGGTTCAATGGTGTATGGCTTCGTACAGACTCTATCTATTGCTATTGCCGATGGCCATTTTCTTAAAGTTTCTGAAAAACATATGGATTTTAACTTCTAAAAACATTTAAATAAGGATAATTTCCTGACTGTAGTTGAATTTTATATAAATAAAAAGTTTCTTGGTTTTTTTTTGATCAATTATTTTTTGTACTATAAGCACTACATATTGTTATGGAATTATAAAATTAAACAAAAATAGATATAATTAAGTAAATAATAGTATGCAATTTTGGTATTATAAATTAAGATTATATATAACAAAATAACACCCAATATAGTAAAAAATATATTTGTTTTAAAATGACAAAGTGAATGTAAATTTGGGAAGATTATTTTGATTGGTTATTAAGTAAGACATTTAAAAAAAATAAAATGTCCAGTTTAAAACGTGTTTAATCAAGTTAAAATACAAAAAATGTTCTTTTGAAAGATAATATAAGAAGTTCAGCCCAAATATTCAAGTGATACATACAAAATATGATGTCATAATTATTGTGTAAAGGTTTTAATTGGGTTTTCCTTTGATATCTATGGGGTATCTAAAAAAAAAAAGGATAAACAGGCTGGTATTTTGACTTTTGATTTGGAAGGAGGGACGTTACATTTTGTAAAAAAAACTGGAAATTTTTAATATATATTATAAAAGGCTTAGTAAATAAACAAATTTTTCTCAATAGTCTGTACAAATGGGGATATACATGAAACCTGGACGGTAAAGCAAGTTGCGATATCAAAATTTCTACGGTAAGTGACAGTACATATGTGTACGTCGGCAGAGGTAACAGAACAGTGGTATATCCAAATTCATACAAACTGAGTGAGTGAGTACCTACTCTTTATGTAAACTGAATTTGTGTGGCCAGTCAATGTATTATTGAGTTTTATGTGAGGAAAAAACTTGAAACTGCTTAGCTTTTAAATTTAGAATCTAACGAAGTAGATAATGCAAATGAAGCTATAAATAGAATAATTAGCAGAATTTTTAATCTCCTGTGACACTAGGAAGTGAGAGTAAAATACTTATTCAATAAGCTACATAAAAAAAATCTAAAACCAGGCACATTTTGATTGAATCTTTATACCCAGATTTCCTGGTTTTACATTTTTTGATAAAAATATATTGTAGTCGGAGGAAAAATATGATAAATCACTTATGCAAAAGTAATTTTTCATACTCGTAATGTAATAGACTATTACGATAGTCTGAGTAATGTGCAAAATTGTATATCTAAATAGGCAAGAACAACTTGAGCTGAAATATTGCCGTTGTAGGACAAAATATACTAAAATATACTAAAAAATACTAAAATATACTAAAATATACTAAAATATACTAAAATATACTAAAATATACTAAAATATACTAAAATATACTAAAATATACTAAAATATACTAAAATATACTAAAATATACTAAAATATACTAAAATATACTAAAATATACTAAAATATACTAAAATATACTAAAATATACTAAAATATACTAAAATATACTAAAATATACTAAAATATACTAAAATATACTAAAATATACTAAAATATACTAAAATATACTAAAATATACTAAAATATACTAAAATATACTAAAATATACTAAAATATACTAAAATATACTAAAATATACTAAAATATACTAAAATATACTAAAATATACTAAAATATACTAAAATATACTAAAATATACTAAAATATACTAAAATATACTAAAATATACTAAAATATACTAAAATATACTAAAATATACTAAAATATACTAAAATATACTAAAATATACTAAAATATACTAAAATATACTAAAATATACTAAAATATACTAAAATATACTAAAATATACTAAAATATACTAAAATATACTAAAATATACTAAAATATACTAAAATATACTAAAATATACTAAAATATACTAAAATATACTAAAATATACTAAAATATACTAAAATATACTAAAATATACTAAAATATACTAAAATATACTAAAATATACTAAAATATACTAAAATATACTAAAATATACTAAAATATACTAAAATATACTAAAATATACTAAAATATACTAAAATATACTAAAATATACTAAAATATACTAAAATATACTAAAATATACTAAAATATACTAAAATATACTAAAATATACTAAAATATACTAAAATATACTAAAATATACTAAAATATACTAAAATATACTAAAATATACTAAAATATACTAAAATATACTAAAATATACTAAAATATACTAAAATATACTAAAATATACTAAAATATACTAAAATATACTAAAATATACTAAAATATACTAAAATATACTAAAATATACTAAAATATACTAAAATATACTAAAATATACTAAAATATACTAAAATATACTAAAATATACTAAAATATACTAAAATATACTAAAATATACTAAAATATACTAAAATATACTAAAATATACTAAAATATACTAAAATATACTAAAATATACTAAAATATACTAAAATATACTAAAATATACTAAAATATACTAAAATATACTAAAATATACTAAAATATACTAAAATATACTAAAATATACTAAAATATACTAAAATATACTAAAATATACTAAAATATACTAAAATATACTAAAATATACTAAAATATACTAAAATATACTAAAATATACTAAAATATACTAAAATATACTAAAATATACTAAAATATACTAAAATATACTAAAATATACTAAAATATACTAAAATATACTAAAATATACTAAAATATACTAAAATATACTAAAATATACTAAAATATACTAAAATATACTAAAATATACTAAAATATACTAAAATATACTAAAATATACTAAAATATACTAAAATATACTAAAATATACTAAAATATACTAAAATATACTAAAATATACTAAAATATACTAAAATATACTAAAATATACTAAAATATACTAAAATATACTAAAATATACTAAAATATACTAAAATATACTAAAATATACTAAAATATACTAAAATATACTAAAATATACTAAAATATACTAAAATATACTAAAATATACTAAAATATACTAAAATATACTAGAATATACTAAAATATACCCAAATATACCCACAGATCTGGAATTAGGGTTACCAGACGTCAGCAAAAGTTGTTTTTAGTTTTTGACGGTAGGTACTTTTTTTAATAAAATAGATTGTCCGGATTTTTAAGGAAATCTCCTGAATTTTTATCGGGAATATCAAGAAACTGTTTGTTTGAATACAGTAACCATACCTGGAATTAAGTTTGAGGTATTGGAAATGTATATAATGTGAGTTTATTTCATTTATAGTTACAACTTTGATTATCTAAATATTGGTATGAATTGGTTAGAAGTATCAATACAAGTAAAATTATCTAACAAAAACTTCTTTTTAAATTTTTACAACTTCCTAACCTTACCTGATACAACCATATCCATGTATTTCATTTTCAGTAAAGCCTCGTAAGTAATGATTCCTTCGCATTCTTCAAGCGTATCTTCAATTTCTTTCCGAAGCCTATTTTGAATAACTATATTGACACCTAGTTCATAAGCCATGAAGCTCATCACAGACGATACCGAATCAAAACCGGCAAAAAAGAAAATCATAGCTTGAGCGGCTATATCCAAATTAGTTAGTTCCTTCAAAGCAGGTTTTTCTAAAAATATAATTTATAATTATATATAGTATAATAAAAATTTTAGTATTTACTAATATGGAGACGCAGTCTATACCAGACGCTTCATACCAGTAAAAATCTATTTTGAGCCAGGTTCTACGTGTTCTACAGTTTTCATTAAATTCTATAAATTAATCTGAGAAGAAAACTGTTTCTTATTCTCTGCATTTTTTGCTTTTTTGTCTTCTCTGTCCATTCTATCTTCTCTGCCCTATCTGATTCTCTATCTTCTTTGAATTCTCTACCTTCTCTGCTTACTCTGCCGACTTTATCGATTCTGCCTTCTCTGCCTTTCTCTCCCTTATCTGCCTCCTCTACATTCCTTTTCTCTACATTCTCTACAATCTTTACATTTTCTAAATTCATTACATTCTCTACATTCTCTACATGCTCTACATTCTCTACATTCTCTTCATTCTCTATGTTCTCTACATTCTCTGCATTATTTACATTTTCTACATTCTATACATTCTCTACATTCTCTACATTTTCTACATTCTCTACATTCTCTACATTTTTTACATTCTCTACATTCTTTACATTCTCTACCTTCTCTACATTCTCTTCCTTCTCTACCTTCTCTACCTTCTCTACCTTCTCTACCTTCTCTACCTTCTCTACCTTCTCTACCTTCTCTACCTTCTCTACCTTCTCTACCTTCTCTACCTTCTCTACCTTCTCTACCTTCTCTACCTTCTCTACCTTCTCTACCTTCTCTACCTTCTCTACCTTCTCTACCTTCTCTACCTTCTCTACCTTCCCTACCTTATCTACCTTCTCTACCTTCTCTACTTTCTCTACCTTCCCTACCTTCTCTACCTTCTCTTACTCCTCTACCTTCTCTACCTTCTCTACCTTCTCTACCTTCTCTACCTTCTCTACCTTCTCTACCTTCTCTACCTTCTCTACCTTCTCTACCTTCTCTACCTTCTCTACCTTCTCTACCTTCTCTACCTTCTCTACCTTCTCTACCTTCTCTACCTTCTCTACCTTCTCTACCTTCTCTACCTTCTCTACCTTCTCTACCTTCTCTACCTTCTCTACCTTCTCTACCTTCTCTACCTTCTCTACCTTCTCTACCTTCTCTACCTTCTCTACCTTCTCTACCTTCTCTACCTTCTCTACCTTCTCTACCTTCTCTACCTTCTCTACCTTCTCTACCTTCTCTACCTTTTCTACCTTCTCTACTTTCTCTACATTCTTTACTTTCTCTACCTTCTTTACCTTCTCTAACTTTTCTAACGTTTTTGATTTCTCTAACTTTTCTAACGTTTTTGATTTCTCTAACTTCTCTAACTTCTCTAACTTCTCTAACTTCTCTAACTTCTCTAACTTCTCTAACTTCTCTAACTTCTCTAACTTCTCTAACTTCTCTAACTTCTCTAACTTCTCTAACTTCTCTAACTTCTTCTAACTTCTCTAACTTCTCTAACTTCTCTAACTTCTCTAACTTCTCTAACTTCTCTAACTTCTCTAACTTCTCTAACTTCTCTAACTTCTCTAACTTCTCTAACTTCTCTAACTTCTCTAACTTCTCTAACTTCTCTAACTTCTCTAACTTCTCTAACTTCTCTAACTTCTCTAACTTCTCTAACTTCTCTAACTTCTCTAACTTCTCTAACTTCTCTAACTTCTCTAACTTCTCTAACTTCTCTAACTTCTCTAACTTCTCTAACTTCTCTAACTTCTCTAACTTCTCTAACTTCTCTAACTTCTCTAACTTCTCTAACTTCTCTAACTTCTATAACTTCTCTAACTTCTCTAACTTTTCTAACTTTTCTAACTTCTCTAACTTCTCTAACTTCTCTAACTTCTCTAACTTCTCTAACTTCTCTAACTTCTCTAACTTCTCTAACTTCTCTAACTTCTCTAACTTCTCTAACTTCTCTAACTTCTCTAACTTCTCCAACTTCTCTAACTTCTCTAACTTCTCTAACTTCTCTAACTTCTCTAACTTCTCTAACTTCTCTAACTTCTCTAACTTCTCTAACTTCTCTAACTTCTCTAACTTCTCTAACTTCTTTAACTTCTCTAACTTCTCTAACTTCTCTAACTTCTCTAACTTCTCTAACTTCTCTAACTTCTCTAACTTCTCTAACTTCTCTAATTTCTCTAACTTCTCTAACTTCTCTAACTTCTCTAACTTCTCTAACTTCTCTAACTTCTCTAACTTCTCTAACTTCTCTAACTTCTCTAACTTCTCTAACTTCTATAACTTCTCTAACTTCTCTAACTTTCCTAACTTTTCTAACTTCTCTAACTTCTCTAACTTCTCTAACTTCTCTAACTTCTCTAACTTCTCTAACTTCTCTAACTTCTCTAACTTCTCTAACTTCTCTAACTTCTCTAACTTCTCTAACTTCTCTAACTTCTCTAACTTCTCTAACTTCTCTAACTTCTCCAACTTCTCTAACTTCTCTAACTTCTCTAACTTCTCTAACTTCTCTAACTTCTCTAACTTCTCTAACTTCTCTAACTTCTCTAACTTCTCTAACTTCTCTAACTTCTCTAACTTCTCTAACTTCTTTAACTTCTCTAACTTCTCTAACTTCTCTAACTTCTCTAACTTCTCTAACTTCTTTAACTTCTCTAACTTCTCTAACTTCTCTAACTTCTCTAACTTCTCTAACTTCTCTAACTTCTCTAACTTCTCTAACTTCTCTAACTTCTCTAACTTCTCTAACTTCTCTAACTTCTCTAACTTCTCTAACTTCTCTAACTTCTCTAACTTCTCTAACTTCTCTAACTTCTCTAACTTCTCTAACTTCTCTAACTTCTTAACTTCTCTAACTTCTCTAACTTCTCTAACTTCTCTAACTTCTCTAACTTCTCTAACTTCTCTAACTTCTCTAACTTCTCTAACTTCTCTAACTTCTCTAACTTCTCTAACTTCTCTAACTTCTCTAACTTCTCTAACTTCTCTAACTTCTCTAACTTCTCTAACTTCTCTAACTTCTCTAACTTCTCTAACTTCTCTAACTTCTCTAACTTCTCTAACTTCTCTAACTTCTCTAACTTCTCTAACTTCTCTAACTTCTCTAACTTCTCTAACTTCTCTAACTTCTCTAACTTCTCTAACTTCTCTAACTTCTCTAACTTCTCTAACTTCTCTAACTTCTCTAACTTCTCTAACTTCTCTAACTTCTCTAACTTCTCTAACTTCTCTAACTTCTCTAACTTCTCTAACTTCTCTAACTTCTCTAACTTCTCTAACTTCTCTAACTTCTCTAACTTCTCTAACTTCTATAACTTCTCTAACTTCTCTAACTTTTCTAACTTTTCTAACTTCTCTAACTTCTCTAACTTCTCTAACTTCTCTAACTTCTCTAACTTCTCTAACTTCTCTAACTTCTCTAACTTCTCTAACTTCTCTAACTTCTCTAACTTCTCTAACTTCTCTAACTTCTCCAACTTCTCTAACTTCTCTAACTTCTCTAACTTCTCTAACTTCTCTAACTTCTCTAACTTCTCTAACTTCTCTAACTTCTCTAACTTCTCTAACTTCTCTAACTTCTCTAACTTCTCTAACTTCTTTAACTTCTCTAACTTCTCTAACTTCTCTAACTTCTCTAACTTCTCTAACTTCTCTAACTTCTCTAACTTCTCTAACTTCTCTAACTTCTCTAACTTCTCTAACTTCTCTAACTTCTCTAACTTCTCTAACTTCTCTAACTTCTCTAACTTCTCTAACTTCTCTAACTTCTCTAACTTCTCCAACTTATCTAATTTCTCTAACTTCTCTAACTTCTCTAACTTCTCTAACTTCTCTAACTTCTTTTAAATAAACAAATATATACAAATAATTTACAAATGTGCATCTGTCTAACTGCTTGATACTGGCCCAAAAAGAAATATCTCCTGACCAATAACGTCCCAATAAATTCGACTCCATCTCACTATGTTCATATAAAATAAATAATAAGAAAGTTCGGCAATAATTTCCTTTTTTAGTAATACAACGTATTTACCTATGCTACTTAAATCATTTTCATCAATACTAGCAAATCCATTGTCATCTACCTCTTCTTTTTTCTGAATACCATTTTGAGCTTCCATTAAAAGGTTAATCATATCAGATCGAACAATGCCTTTTTCTCTTCTCATTTTTATATTTTCTTCAATGAGCTGCGTGAAGAAACTAACAAGGTGCTTGTCGAAAAGTCCAATTTTAAAATACTGAAAAACGAAATTAAGACTATAAAGGAAGTTTATGAAAAAAAATATTTCGTTTTTCTTCAAAGAATTCCATTTAAGCAAATAAATGCATGTAAACTTATTTTGTTTAACCCTTTTGACATAAGTGGTTACATTCATATTGTATTGCTGAAACTTATAATTTTATCAAATTGGTAACCTTTTTCACGCTATTTTTCTTAGCGGCTCTCTGTATCTGTAACGTGTGGAGGGTGGGTTACCCCCACGGCACTTAGGCCTCATCAGGCCCACTGTGCATCCTCCTGAGATGATGGACACCTTCTAGCTCATTTGCCAGCCTAAAGATTTAATGTAGTTGACAACGTCGCCTAGAGGTGCTTCTCTTATATCAGCCGGTGTTAGCCATTACTTGCCGAACACAAATCTTCTAATAAATTAGAGCGTCGAGCAATCGTAAAGGATAAACTCGATGGTCTCATCTTCTTGTTCGTACCCTCTGCAGAGGAGTGCGGATTTCATAATATGGATATGCTTTCGTACGTGGCAATGACCAGTCAGAATGCCTGTGACTAGGCGCAGATTTTGTCTAGTCATAGTCAAGTATTTGTTTGCTGTAGTGTTGTAAGGATAACTTAGCAGCTCCCTGGTAACTCTGCAGTTTCTTGTTTCATCCCATCTTTTTGTTAATTTCACAAGGGAATGTGGTTTGATTAGGTCTGTCACTACCGATTTTGTTAGGCCAATAGAAGGGCCAGGTCCAAAAAGTATTTGGTTGGCTGCTTTCTTGGCTAGTGAATCAACAAGACGGTTACCTTTCGATGTGGCGTGACCTTTGATTTATCTTAATGTGACCACATTGTTGATGGATACTTCGGCCAATACTTCTTGACATTCTAGTACTAACCCTGAGTAAATTCGTGGCCTGTTCAGAGTGCTTGTCTGCTATCTGTATAGATAAGCATGTTCCTTCCAGTAATATTGTTTCTGGTTATTTCTTTTGCTGCTATGAGAATCCCCGTTAGCTCTGTTTGAACTACACTGGCACTATTGTTCACAGCCACTTTTATGTTTAGGTTCAAGAATCTGGAGTATATTCCACATCTTGAGCCTTGTTTTGTTTTATAACCGTCCGTGTAGATATGAATCGTACCTGCCACTTCTGCCTCTTCTATTTGTTTTATTATAACTTTATATGGCTTATGGAAGCTATAAGAGTCCATGTTCGCTTGAAGCAGTGGGAGCGTATCGAGCGCTTCCTACGAAAAGCGACGGCTCGCCTCACCATATCCTACATCAGGTTATATTCCAACCATGCGGAAGCATGTCATTGTCGTCAGTGCAACCTTCTTGATGTAAATATGAAGGGGAGTAAGGCTAAGAATGACTTTCATGGCTCTGGTCGGTGTTGTTTTCATGACTTCTGTTATGTTGAGACATGCTGTTCTTTGAATTTGTTCTAGTTTACGTATGTTAGCATAGGTCCTATGAGAGCCGTGTAAGTCCATGCTGCGACTCTGGGGAGAAACCCCAGGTGCGCCCCATGGTTCGGCAGCATTGTTCATAAGCAATGTATGCTCTTTTAACTCTGTTTTCTAAATGCGAGTTCCATTTTAACTTGCTGTCAAAGGTGAGACCTAGGTACTTCACCTCTGTTGCAAAGTTTAGTTTTGTGTTTAGAAGTTCTGGAGGTTTTAATTCTATTTTCATCCTTTTCCTTGTGAAAAGAACCATTTCTGTCTTCGTAGGATTGATAGACAGTGAATGGTCCTTGCACCACTGTTCGATAATTTTTAGAGCTACTTGCATTCTTTCGCAGAGTATGTTCTCAAAATTCCCTGTATGCAGAATAACCAAGTCATCTGCATATGCTATTGTGCAGTGACTGTCATTATTGAGGCGGGTAATTAGGCTGTCAAGGACCATATTGCACAGAAGAGGTGATAGCACCCCTCCCTGTGGACATCCCCTCGTAACCAAACCTCTTATATTCACATCTTCTACACTTATGTTGACTGCTCGCTTTGAGAGCATGTTATGTATCCACCCACTAACCATTTGTGGAACATTCCTGTTGGCTAGTGAGTGTATTCTTAGCGGCTGTATCTCAGAAACTATTTTTTCTACACCCACATGGATATTAGCTTGTCTAAGCACAGATTATAAAACGAAAAGGTATGCTATTACCTTCAACGAACGAATATATTTCATATCCATCCTAGGTAGTGAGAACACTGCAAAAAAATTAAATCCAACAATCACTGTTCATATTTTGATCAACCGACTGCTATTATTTTTAAAATTTTAGTTAAGTGACAATTCTGTCAAACTTATTGTCAATATATTTTTTAGTTATTGAGATTAAACATATATTAAAATGGGTTATTCTTTTATTCTAGCATTTTTGTTTTTATTTCGTCTATAACTATAAATAATTTGTTAATTTAAATAAAACTATGTGAAGTCAATTTAATTACGAGAATTAAAGCAACAAAAATAAAAGAATAATGGTCTGTCGTCAGCGTTCTAGCCTTCCACATAGAGGACTGGAGTTCGATTCTCGCATGGGGAAAAATAAAATGAACTTTTTTCGTTTATTTTATTTTAAAAATTATTAAAAGTCATAAATTATTTTAAAATTAGTTATTTTCACTTAATAACCTAAAATATTTTTTTTATTTGTAAAATTTCGTTAGTGGGTTGTAGACGATTGGGCACTCCGCCTGTAGCGTCGTTTTCAAATTTCGTCTTCGTGCGATATGGTCATCATATCCACTCTTGTTGCACAAACTACTTTATCCTACAGCTTCGAAAAAGGGGCGATTGGGAACCTTAATTTCTTAAAACTATTGTAACTACGGTGTAGTTCATCAGATTTTGAAAAACTTAGTATCGATTACAAGCAAATTGATTGTTTAGTAAAATACTTCAAACGAAAAGTACCAACAGGACTAAAGTCACCAGTACTGAAAGGAGTGAAGATTCCATTCGCTCAAGAGGCCAAATACTTGGGAGTCATCTTTGACCACAGGTTAATATGGAATCAACACTTGCAAAAAGTCACCCAAAAGAGCACAACGTCCTTCAACTTATGTCGAAGTTTGTGTGGAAAAAATTGGGGATTACAACCAAAAATGTCCCTGTGGTTATATACCAGAGTCATAAGGCCGATGATAACCTACGGGTCGGTGGTATGGTGGCCAAAGACTAGGCAAGCTGGAGCCATTCGACAGCTCAATGGTATTCAAAGGCAAGCATGCCTGAGTACCACGGGAGCTATGAGAACGACTCCAACAGCAGCTATAGAAGTCATGCTAAACCTAACACCACTACATATATTCATTCAAGGTGAAGCCAGGTCTGTCACATACAGACTGCACAAAGGTTCATCGCCCATAAGCAGTTTGCATGGACGCGACTACAGCGAGCTATATAAAGAGTTGGAGAACGACCAAATAATGGGAATGCCTTCAGACGAAATGCTTCCAAAGTATAGCTTTCAAAAGCAATATAAAGTAAGTATACCAGACAGGGAAGCGTGGACGGGAGGACCTCCTATTCATGCAGATCTCACCTGGTATACAGACGGCTCCAAAACCCATGAAGGTTCAGGAGTAGGTATATATAGTACCAAGCCAAAGACAGGAATCTCACTGAGCTTAGGTAAACATGCGACAGTATTCCAGGCAGAAATAGCAGCAATACATCACTGCGCAAAAGAAGTATTAAGACAGAAGGTAAATGGAAAAACCATTGTCATATACTCAGACAGTCAAGCGACGTTAAAAGCACTCAGTTCCATGCAGGTACACTCAAAGCTTGTGTGGGACTGTTTGGAAGCCCTAACAGAGCTGGGTAGTCAAAACAGACTAACCTTAGCGTGGGTACCAGGCCACAGGGGACACAAAGGCAATGAAGAGGCTGATTTACTAGCCCAAGAAGGAGCATCAAATGCTCTTATTGGCCCAGAACCCTTCTGTGGTGTAACAAAAACAACTATCAGAACATGCACAAAGCAGTGGATGTTTAAAAAATCTCAGGAGTGGTGGGAAAACTCACCAGGACAGAGACAGGCCAAAAAGTTCTTAAAAGGACCATCGTCTAAACTCACCGAGCATCTACTAAGCCTTAATAGGAAAAATACTAGAATACTAGTAGGTCTATTAACAGGGCATTGTAGGCTTAACAAACATATGTTCAATATCGGTCTGACAGAAGAGGCCTTATGCCGATACTTTCAAGAAGAAGAGGAAACGGCAGAACACGTATTGTGCTACTGCGAAGGTCTAGTAAGACACTTGGAGAAGAAAAACCAAGGGCAACTAGCTATACCGGAGAACTACTTTCCAGTCTATGGAGTTTACTACAAAAAACCGCATTAGACAAGGTACTCTAAACAATGATTAAAGGATATCCACAATAGATCTGAAAAGGTCGAGGTGGGGGAGGCCACATGGCCCATAGTCCTAATTAAATCTAATCTAATCTAATCTAAAATACTTCAATATAATTCTAATTCAGTTGTTTAAACAAGCACTAGGTGGCGTTGTTTAAACAACAATTTTTTCGAAGCTTTCTGACAAGAAAGAGTAAAAACCAAGTATTATTATCTTTTTTCTAACGGAATATGAGCCAAAGTCTATTAATGGTAAATAGCCCATCTAGATATTAATAAATAAAATTATTTATATATTAATCTATTTGACTTTATTACGTCAATAGTTTTTAATAGCTTAGCTGTGGTGATGAACACACAAAATTAATAAAATCTGATTTTAATTAACTCTATAGTGTAAGTTTACTGGTTTAGTGAAACTAAATAATATATTATTATATTAATAAAATTCAAAACAAGTAACTAAAAACAGAACAAAATAGAAAATAAAACACCAATAGAGTATCCGATGCCTCATATTATAATTCCGACACATAATTTAATTAATTTAAACATCATACTTTTGTATCTATTAGTAGTGAATAGTATTATAAATTTTTTCGTATTAAATGTCAATAAGCTAATGTAA